CGGCTGCCTCCCGCTGCCCCGCACCCTGTGTCTGTGACAACCTCCGTGCCCACGTGCTGTGCCTCAACGGGAGCCTGGCTGCCGTCCCCACCGCCATCCCGCAGGTGGGCAAGGGGACAGGGATTGGGGAGGGGGGTGGCAGCCCTGCGGTAACTCAATGTTTTATTTGTGTGCCCGACAGCTCACCAAGAAACTGGACCTTTGGGGCAACAGCTTCACGGCCATCCCAGCGGGAGCCTTCCTTGGCACCCCGTACCTCACGCACTTGGACCTGCAGCGCTGCAAGGTGGAGAAGCTGGAGGAAGGGGCTTTCCGAGGGCTGGGGAGGCTGGTCTACCTCAACCTGGCCTCCAATGACATAGCCATCCTCTACCAGGAGTCCCTGGATGGGCTGTCCTCCCTCCAGCAGCTCATTCTGGAGGGGAACCGCATTGAGGAGATCCAGCCGGGTGCTTTTGGCCATCTGGGGTCCCTCACTGTCCTCGACCTGAGGGCAAATGCCTTGGTTTACCTCCCAGACATGGTCTTCCAGGGCCTGGTGGTCCTCAGGTGGCTCCGGCTGTCCCACAACACCCTCCATGTGCTGGGCAGCGAGGCCTTCGCCGCCCTGCCCGCACTGCACAGGCTGAGCCTGGACCACAACGAGCTACAGGCGTTGCCTGGCGAGGCCCTGGCCAGGCTGGATAGGGTGACCCGGCTGGACATGGGCTATAACCCCATCACCTGCCTGGCCGAGGAGGCGCTGGCCATGGCCTCCCTGAAGCACCTCTTCCTGGACCACGCAGCCCTGCAGGACGTGGCGGCCGAAGCCTTCACCCGCAGCCCCCGGCTGCGCACGCTGGACCTGCACGCTAACCAGCTGCAGGGGCTGCCGGGCCTGGCTGGGGCTGGGGCACTCGTGAGGGTCAACCTGGCCAGCAACCCCCTGCTCTGCTCCTGCCTCCTGCGCCCCTTCCACGAGTGGCTGGTGAGGGAGCGGGTACAGGTGGAGGGGACCTGTGCGGCACCCGCTGCCCTCCGCGGCCGGACCCTGGACTCGCTGAGGCCCCCCGAGATGAGCTGCGGCCACCACGAGCTGCCCCCCACCCCTGCCGCGCCATCGGAGCAGCCGAGGGCAGGCGGCAGCAGGCAGTGCCCCCGCGGGTGCTCCTGCTCCCCCGATGTCCACCATGGGTCCTGTGAGAACAGGGGCCTGCAGGAGATCCCCCAGGGCTTCCCCACGGACACCCGCCTGCTTGACCTGCGCCGGAATGCCTTTGGGATGGTGCCACCGGGCGCCTTCCCTGGCCTCAAGGAGCTGGTGTCCCTCCACCTGCAGAGCTGCAGCATCAGGGCGCTGCACCCCGGGGCGCTGCGGGGACTGGACAGCCTGGTCTACCTCTACCTCACCGACAACCTCCTCTCCACCCTGACAGCCACCGCCTTCGAGGGTGCCCCGCGGCTGGCCTACCTCGACCTGGACCGCAACGCCTTCACCCGCCTGCCCACAGGGGCCTTCCAGCTCCTGCCCAACCTCATCTCCCTCCATCTGCAGCACAACGCCATTGAGGAGCTGGCAGAGGGTGACCTGGCCGGGGCAGGGGGGCTGCGCTGGCTCTACCTTGCTGGGAACACCATCAAGCACATCGCTCCTGCCGCCCTGGCTCCCACCGCGATGCTGGAGAAGCTGTACCTAGAGGGAAACCAGCTGGCAGAGGTGCCCACAGCAGCCCTGCAGGGCCTGCCTGCCCTGAGCGAGCTGAAGCTGTCCCGAAACCCCATCAAGCGCATGGGGGATGGAGTGTTCTTGCCTGTGGCATCCAGCCTGCAGCACCTCTACCTGGACAACATGGGCCTGCAGCGGGTGTGTGGGGCTAGGGACCCCTGAGGGGCAGTCACCACAGGGCACAGCCACTGGTCCCATCTTGTTCCATTGCCCTATAGGGGCTGGTCGCCCCTATAGGAGCATTTAAGCAGATGTCTCCAAACTCCTAAGGCTTCAGTTTGCTCCACAGACTGGCTCAGAAGCGAGGCATCTTCAGGCTCCTCTGGGACAGGCTTATTGCCTCCAGTCCTGAAAGACACCCAATTTCAGTTGAATTCAGACCATTCCCCAACCCCCCCAGCCCCAGCCATATTTCTTCTCTTATGGGCTGCCCTGGGGCTTCATTCACTGTTACTCTGGCTATCTCCATTCTCTCAAGAAAGTGGCATTAGCAGCACTCTTGTAAGTGTCATGGAGCTGTTGGAGCAGGTCCAGAAGAGAGCCACAAGGGGTTGATCAGAGGGATGGAGCACCTTCTGTATGAAGCCAGGCTGAGAATTGGGGCTGTTCAGCCTGGAGAAGAGAAGGCTGCGTGGAGACCTCATAGCAGCCTTGAAATAGCTGAAAGGGACCTACAGGGATGCTAGAGGGACTCTTCATCAGGGACTGTAGTGACAGGACAAGGGGTAATGGGTTTAAACTTAAACAGGGGAAGTTTAGATTGGATATAAGGAGGAAATTCTTTCCTGTTAGGGTGGTGAGGCACTGGAATGGGTTGTCCAGGGAGGTTGTGAATGCTCCATCCCTGGCAGTGTTCAAGGCCATGTTGGACGAGGCCTTGGGTGATATGGTTTAGTGTAAGGTGTCCCTGCCCATGGCAGGGGGGTTGGAACTGGATGGTCTTAAGGTCCTTTCCAACCTAAACCACTCTATGATTCTATGAGCTTAAGAGCACCCAGGGCTCACTTCAATACCTCCTGCATGTCACCTTATTTATTTCTAAGAAGGTTGAACAGGGTCGAATAAGTCCTAAAATGTGATTGAAACCAGTTGAGTTTTTACAGTCCCTACTGTTTAGAATGGCTCTTTCATGTGGCTGCCAGGTTGAGGAGAGGCTCGCAGCCCCCCCAAGCTAACTGGTAGCGGAGGGGCAGGGATTGGCTCTCTTGCACCTGCCAGCACCCCCTGACTCACCCTCTCCCTTCACTGCAGATTTCCCCCGGCGCCTTCACTGGCCTCGGCCCCAAGATCCGAAGCCTCCACCTGGAGGGCAACAAGATGAGCAGCATCCCCAGTATGAGCAACTTCACTGGGCTGGAGATCCTCAACCTGCGGGATGTGCCTTTCCACTGCGACTGCCAGCTCCTTCCCCTGCGCCAGTGAGTGCCACGGGGGGAACAGCCCCAGGGGACATCTACACCCTGGCACGGGGGGGGCGGATGGCATGCTGGCTGGTTTGGGTCATGGTGGTGAGGTGGAGCATGTGCCTGTGGGCAAGGATCAAAGTAGCCTGTGCTTTCCTGGCACAGGGAAAGCAGCCACAGGCTGCGGTAGGCACATATTCAGGTATTCACACGTCACCCAGGTGAGACCCTGAGCAACAGGGCCTGGCTCTGAAATGACCTGTGCCCACTCACAGGCACTGAGTTTCATCTCTCCCTTTGCCCATCCTGTTCCCTTCCCTGATCTCCTGCCATGTTTCCAGGTGGATCGACAAACTCAACCTCCGTGTAGGGGCCACCTGTGGGTCCCCTACAGAAGCCAGAGGGCTGAAAATGAAGCTTTCCACCACCTTCCAAACCTGCCCTGGCTGGGGAGACAAGACCAAGGCTGTAAGCAAGCCCAGCAAGAGGTCAGGAAAATCACTAGCCAGAGGCTTCAAGAAGAGCAGAACTTAGGAAACGTGCAGGCTGCAACAGGATTTCTAGACTTGTCCCAACCAGAGCAACATGGATACGGAACAAGATTCAAAGGAGAAAGGCTGGTGCCACCAAAGTGATGCTCATTTGCCAAAGCATCACAAAGCATTTAGTTTTGCAGGACACAGAGACATGACCTTGGAGAGACCTGGTGCAAAAGCTTCTGAAGTATTTGCAGCGTGCTTTGATGACTTGAACAACAAAGACAAATCCTTGTTTTTTCTTCCTGAGGCTCCCTCCAGCCATACAGGAAAGCTGGAATCCACAAGCTTCGTTCCATTTTTATGAGCGGGCCTGCAAATGGCATCAGTGAAAGATCCTGCACAGGCCTGGGCCTTGAGAGCAGGAAACACAAAAATTATCATGAGTGAAAACATAGCCTGAATTCCCAGCAGCTCCTCAGAATTAAAGCATAAGCAGAACAAAACCTTTCTATGTCCTGCAAAATTTGATCAGTGACCATGTTGATTGAATGGGATCACTGATCCCTTAATTGATCCCATCATAAGCATGTGCTCAACTTACTCCTCATGGCAGGCCAGGCTGGAATGTCCCAAACCCATTTTAAAGTCAGAATTTTGTTTAGATTGAGAAGGCTTTAAGAGGACAGACTCTTCTAGCCATTGAACTACCCTAGCTACAGCAAAATAAAAGAATCACAGAATCAGACTGGTTTGGGTTGGAAGCGACCTTAAAGCTCATCCAGTTCCAACCCCCTGCCACGGGCAGCGCCACCTTCTGCTAGACCAAATTGCTTCATGCCCCGTTCAACCTGGCCTTGAACACTGCCAGGGATGGGGCAGCCACAGCTTCTTTGGACTACCTGTGCCAGCGCCTCAGCACCCTCATAGTGAATCTCTCTTAATATTTAAATCTACCCAATATTTAATCTAAATCTAAGAAAGTTAAAGGCATTTGGAAATTATCATCCTGTGAAGAAAGGTGGCTCTCGATCCCAGCTGTTTGACAAGAGAAACATGCAATGGCTTTGCCCCTGCATTAAGCCATCTATGACAAGTTGGTGATAAGAGGCAGAGGTACTGGGAGAGGCAGCAGCCAGAGGCAGGTGAGCAGGGAGTCCCCATCAAAAGCCTTTGATAAACCTCCCTCCCCTACCATGCTCACCCCATGGTTTCCCTCTCCCAAGGGGCAGTTAGGGGTGGGCTAAGATGGCACCTCTCACACCTGCTTTGACACAGACCCTCCCCACTTCTCCCACCTGTGTTCTATTGCTGCCCCACAGCCCTTTCTTTCCTCTCTGGTGAAAGGCTTTGTTTCCCTCTTTAGAAGGGAAAAAAGAAGAAGACTGTTAATTACTCCCAGTCTCCACCCCATGCTCTATAGACAGCTTGCCAACATTTATTCTTTTTGGTCATGAAAAGCAGGAACTGTTTTAGCATGACAAGCTCTCACCTGGGAGCTTGAGGGAGCATGGCTGAGGCAGTCATTCCATGGCCAAGGCTGTCCCTGCAGGATATGACAAGGAGGCACTTGCTTGCCTCGCAGTGGCACTGCCAGACACATCCTCACCTGCAGACAGCTCACAGGGACCTGCTCCAGATTTAAAACTGGTTTTCCTCACTGTTGCCATACTGACCTTTCTGCTTTTCCTCCTCAACTTTGAGGCCTGTCTGGACAGAGGAATATTACTGTTTTGCCCTAAAATGGGAAATGACATCCCTTAAGTTATCAAAAGTCATAGTCAGCCCTTATGCAGAACTGGCACGTTAACAGCAACAAGTGCACAGAAAAATGCTACTGCATCCCTCAAAAAACATAAAAACCCAAACCCAAACCACTACCGACTTCTACTGATGCACTTAGAGCCCTCTTCTCCTTCCCTAAAACCTTGTATTTTGGTGGCCCGGAAAGAAATAAACAAACCTTTGGCCTCTTCCTTGAGTTTAATTCACAGGGCTTGAAGGTCCAGACTGTAGATTGTGTTTACAGTAGGACTGCTAAAAAAGTTTAAACTTCAAACTGTGCACCATGTCCTCTGCAGTTCTGGGTTCAAAACCAAGGAATGACGACACTCAAAAGGGTCTCTTGCTCCCCCAAGAGCCATCATCATCCCTTTTTGGGGTTTTTTTTCACCTCTTTCTACTCTTCCTGTGCTGACTTTCTCAAGGGTATCAGGGCTTAGAAGAGGGAGCACAGTACTGATGTCCTACAAGGGCATCCGATTTCCTGACACATGTGACCTGCACACATCATCTTGGACTGTAACTCACTACCTCCAGGCACAGCCAAGAACCCAAACTGCCCCTTTGTGCTCTGGCAGCCTCCTTCCCCCTTGGGAGCTCCTGCTCAAAGGCACCTCCAAAGCCAGGCACAGGCAACCCCAGCCTGGTCACACTCCTCAGTGTGCCTGTGGCCTTTCTGGAGTCTGGCTCCCAGGGATTAAAATTACAAATCTGGGGGAAGTTTTCTTGCACACCAGGAAAACAGAGTCGTGCTGTTGCAGAGTGATCTGCCCCAAAGAGCGAAGGCCCTCGTAGTCTTCTGCTTCCCTTTGCCAGGGCCCTCCCCAGAGGGCCACGAAAAGTGAAGTACAGGCTGCTGTGGGCAGCTGGGGGATGCTCCAGGATCAGTCTGTGACTTCCTCCTGCTTTATGCTGCTGATAGGAACAGGAAGTTCTGTGTCTTCAAACTCTGCTATTGAGGGGTCGATTGTTTCTTCTTTCACCTGCACGGCAATGACTAGGAAGAAAGAGAGAGGAAAATAAGTAAGTAAAACGAGCCCATTCTGCTTCACTCTACCTGCAGCACCCCAGAACCTGATCTGCTCATGCAGATGTTCAAAACGCCCCAGGATTCCAGCCCGCTTCTTGAGGGTCTCTTACTGTAGGCAGCCATGTCTTGCCAGCACAAAGCTATCCATGATCACAACAGCAATCAGGATGGGACTAAACCCTGGCAGCATTCAGCTGCCTGATCCCAACAACAGCTTCTCCTGCAGAACCATGGGGTTCCATTGGGGGTCCATTCTCTACCTGTGTGGGTCCACAAAGGGGAAATTAACCCTCTTTGAGCAACAGGAACCTTCGTGAGGCTTCATCCCCATGTGTGCAAAGTGCCTCACCCAACCCTCTTCCCCAGTACCCCCTAGGAGTGTCAGGTGACCCAGCTGCCAGATGCTTTTCTGGTCACCACACCTCCTGATGGTCAGCACAACAGACTGTGTTCACATGCTGCAACAGCCCTTAGAGGGACTGGGATGTGACAGCACACCTTGAACACGTCCATCTTGTCTCTCCTCCCAAACTGACCTCACACAACCAGACTGCTCAGTTAGTGCAGCCAGGCCGTCAGTGGCATCAGCAGTATCAAGATATCTAGCTGTACTGGTGCCACCAAACCTTCTCAGGAGGCAACCCTTCCCAGGGAAAACAGGCAAGGGCTTTCTTCCGCTCTGTCTCCTTTCCCTGCCTACGCAGCCAAGCAGCAGCCCAGGCTTTGAGAGGGCTGGTGGTATGCAGGGTGTATGCAAGAGAGCTGCATGTGCCTGCTGGCTAGAATAACTCACTCCCTTACTCTCATCAGGTGATGGCTCTGGCAAAGCCTTGCTGGCAGCTTTTGCTTCTCGTTTCGCTTTCGTAGCAGGCGGCTTCTTGGCAGTCTGCTTCATGTTGCGGGTTTTGATCGGTAACTTTTTTCCTTAACAAAGAGATAACAGAGCATGGGGAAAAACGTGTTTCTTCTTCCCTGGAAAATCAGCAACCCTGCTCCACTGAGAAACCACAGGCCAGGGACCAGCACACCTGACCAGCAAGCTACACGGTCATTAGCTGTCAACTGGTTACTCCACAGAAATGCCCTACTGGAGAAAAACTCTACAGTTATCATCTCAAGATACGCTCCTCCAGGTTCTCCATTAAAGGCACTTCAGCATGTGCTTAACTTCCAAAGAGTGAGTCCTGTTGGAATCAGTCTGGAGTCAGCTTTGCTTACCTGTCTGGGTCTAGTCCTAGGCAATGGGCATGTTGACTGCAAGGCACGGACATTGTAGCATTAATAAATTCAATTTTAACTGACATTTTTACTTAGGTTGTCTTTAAATTCTTTATATGTCCTTTCCTCTCCACCCCCCAGGAAGGAATTTCTTGTCTGTCTGCTCATGATTTGCCACAGCTACTGCAACAATGATCACAACAAGAAGATTAAACAGTAACATGGTGCAGCCCCGCTACTGGCCTCTTCAGCCATCTTAAGGCCTTCTTTCCCTCAGCACAAAGCAAGCAAGACTGCTCTCCAGCTACCCTTCAGCTGCAGCAATCTCCCTCTGACCGCAGACACAGTAGGGAAAGCAGCACGACCTCATGCCTGGAAGCAAGCGCTATCTATACCTCAGCCAACAGAAAGTAGACTGCAAAACAGATCCTTCCCGCACACAGAGCTCTCTGTTCTTTTAGGTAATAGGGCAGTTAAGAAGGATGAAGCTGTGTTGTCAAACCCACAGCTGAGTGAGGGCATCCACAGCAAGACAAGGCCTCTCTCTCCTGCTCTGAAAGGACATGGACAGGGTTGCTCTAACTGGGCCCAGCCTGCGAGCGAGCGGGAGGGCATTAACCAAACATCACTCACTCTTCTTTCCATAGGGTTTCCTCTTCTTCTTGAGCACCTCCTTGGCCTTCGCTGGAGTTGTGGGCTCTGTCATAGAGACGAGAGGGAAACGAAAGCCAAGTCCCATAACCAGTAGGTAACTGGGATGAAGTGACATAAGTGAGAAACAAGATACACCCGTCCCCCCGAGCTAACGCCCTCTTCCCAAGACAAGCAGCTGAGGAGAAAGCATGGCTCTGGTGGTTGCTGTCTGTGCTTCCAGGTGAGGGCCCAGGAGCAGGCTGGGGCATCACAGGGGAGAGAGGCCCAGTAGAGGTTTGGCAGGGGCAGTAAAGAACCAAGGTTTGTAGCTTGGGAGAAGGAAAACAACTGAAAGGTAAGGCAGTGGCCTCCTCGTGAGAAGGGAAGGAATAAACTCTTGAGAGGGATGCTCTTACCTTTTAACAGACAGAGCCAGAGAACTGATGAGAAAAGGGAGCAGGGGCCAAGCTCCCCCTGCTACCTGGCTGAGGTTGTAGGTAGGCTTAGTAAAAGGGAGCTGTGCAGGGATAGGACCACCTGGAACTCTACTCAACTTCATCAGGAGCAATACTCTGTTGGTGTGTAGGTGGGGAAACAGAGGGAAAACAGAGCCAACCTCAAATCTCAAGCTGTTTTCTCCCCACCACAGACTCCTCCCTCTGCCAGCTACTAGAGTGTGTGGCAGCAAGAAGACTTATGGTAGCCAGCACAAATCAAAGAGGCCATTTTCTGCTCCCTACAAGGCCCATAAAAAAGGAGGAGCCACTCACAGAGAAGGAAGATGGAAACCTTTTCCTCTAGTGTTAGAAACCACAGTAAAATCTTCCCTCACCTGGAACAACAGGTGGCTGAAGCTGGTAGCCTGTCAGCTCACACCACCCCACAGGATAAATGTCTGGAGACTCGCAGTCCACCCACTGGTCATACTCATTGTCCCAGCCATCAAAATGGATGCTAAGGAGACGGTGGACCACACGCTTCACTGTGGCTACACAGATGAGCCGGGGCTCCATCAGGTCCACTGCTTCCACCTTCATGCCTGCCTTGAAGCCATGGTTTGGGTAGTCCTGGTGGCAGAAAATGTGAAAAAAGAAAACTCAGGGACACAGTCCAAACCCACATTTGACCACCAGCGCCCTAGAACAGGCTTGCCTCCAACGTAAAGCAAGCACAGAGAGAGCAAGTCCACAGTGGCACAACAGAACCAACCAGTCACATACAAGAAGGGGGCACACGTGAACAGATCCAAGGCCAGCTGTGTCCTTAGTGAGGCTCAGCCCAGCCTTTGGAAACAAGATCCGGACCCTGGGGGGAGCAGCAGCCAGCAGTTAAGGAGCACCCAATCAAACCCATCAGCCTCATAGCCCTGGGAGATCAGAAAGACCAGCACAGGCCCAGGTGCTGCAGCAGTTTTCCTGGTGCAAAGCAGACCTCCCACTCACCCATATATCCACAGGCAACAAGCAGTGCAGTACCCGCCTGGAGCTCTTGAAAGCTCTACAGAATCACAGGTCACACTCAGAGGGACCAAGATACCATTACATTCACAAATGGCATGACACTGCTCATCCCAATCAGCCAAACAGGGCTTTTCCTCTGCTCAGCACTGGTGAGGCCATACCTGGAGTGCTGTGTTCAGCTCTGGCTTCCCAGTACAAGAGAGGCATGGACATAGTGGAGAGAATCCCAAAAAGAGTCATGAGGATGACAAGGGCACTGGCTCATCTTTTATATGAGGGGAGGCTGAGAGAGCTGGGACTGTTCAGCCTGGAGAAGGCTCAGGGAGATCTTATCAACCTATATAAATGCCTGAAGGGAGGTGCAAAGACAGATCCAGGATCCTCTCAGTGGTGTCCAGGGACAGGACCAGAGGCAGTGGACACAAACCGTAACACAGGAGGTTTCCTCTGAACATCAGAAAACACTCTGCACTGTGAGGGCACCTGCACTGGCACAGGCTGCCCAGAGATGCTGCAGAATCTCCATCCATGGAGATATTCAAAAGCTGTCTGTACATGGTCCTGGACAACCCACTAGAGGTGACCCTGCCTGAGCAGGGATGTGGGACAGGATGACCTCCAGAAGGTCCCTTCCAACCTCAACCACTCTGTGACAGCCAGAGCTCTCATGCTCCTGCTTGCTGACTGCAAGCACCCCTACACCTCTCTTCTTCCCAGCAGCACTCACTGTATTGAAGAGTCGTGATGGAACAGGTTTTGATTTAGTCTTTTCCAGGTAACTTTCCCAGTTGAAGGTCCTTGCGTCTTGCCCTGCAGCAGGAAGTGGTGACAGGAAAAAGGAAATCACTGAAGAGACCAACTGGTGGAAAAGGCAGAATAGGCAGGAAGGAGGCATAGCAACTGATTGCAAAGCAGTTTCATAAACCAGCATGTACAGACCGATCCTGATCTTGGACACAAATCTAGTGCACAGGATCTATGGCAGTCCAGCATTCCCTTCCAGGAGGCAAATACAGAACACTGCAAGCCGCAACTCTGAACATCCACGTCAAGTCATTCATCCAGACCACAGAGAAAGGTGAGAAGAAGCAGTAGGCAGAAGTATGTTCAAAGCACACCACTAAGAACAGTCTTTCTCCCACCAGCAGATATATCAAAGGAGGACAGAACAGCACTCCAGAAAAGTGGTGCAACACAGAAATTCAGAGCAAGCCTTTTTGGGTATGGCCATACAAAGCAGTAAAAATACTCCGAGGGTGATTGCCTCTCAGGATTTTGCAGAAATACTGGTCTCAGATTTATTCATACAAGAACAGAGGTAACTCCTGCCACTTTTAAGTACTGAGTCATGCAGCAATGGCTCTACTTATCCCTGCCCACCCTCCTTGTCCTTTAAACTTCTGATTCTGTTCAGTTTGGGGATCTTACACCTCTCCTGCTGATCTCCCAAGGAGCTATCCACCATGCTATTAATGCCATCTAGAGATGGTACTTCCTTCCACAAAGCAGTAAGACTTGGCATATGGGCAGAGCAAAAATAGACTGGATCTCTGAACCAGCCCTATCTTCCTGAAAACACACAAATCGGGACCTTCTGGTTTTCATTTGCCTGAACCTGACCCTGCAGGTTTGTACCACAGGGCAGAGCCCAAATCTCACCTTTTGGAGGGGTCAGAACGATGTTGTTCTTCTGACAGAAATTGACAGGGAAGATGGCATGTGAGGACGCATGATAGCAGAACCAGTCAGAGCAATCATCAGATGTGGCTCCATCGATGCTGATCATGAGATACCCATCCAAGAGGACCTGAGATGGGAGTGAAGAGTATGAGTGTAGAGCTTTGCTTGTTCTAAAATCTCTCTTTTCAAAGGATCCCCCCAGGAGTCCCCACAGAGGTATCGTAACTGCCACTAGAGAGTAAAATGCAATGTTATATGCTCCAGGGCATGCAGTAGCTTCTGCTTATGTGCCAGTCAACACAAGCTAGTCCCCAAAGCAGCAGCAATTTCTGCAGGACTGGGACCAAGGCTAATAGCCTACTGAAAAGGATTCAGCCATGAATGGTCATAAGCTCTGTTCTCCCTCAGAGACAGACTTTATTGGCAGCCTGGAGACCCACCACAACAGCCAGGTAACGAATTTGTTACTAGGCAGAAGGGAAGAGCATCACCTTCAAACTTGCTACTCCTACAGCAACAAGACTTGTCCCATCCTGTCACTCCCTGGTAACTGGTTCCTGCCAAATGTGATGCCCCAATCTCTTCACATTTCCAAGCAACGGCTGAAGGGAATATTTTACAAACACAAAGAGCTCTCCTAGTATCTCCCTGCCAAACCCCAGGTGTCAAAGTCTCCTGCTTGGGTTCTACAAGGGCAAACAGATTCTGGAGGAAGCAATAAAAAAAACAAGTTGATGCCACACTTTCAGGACATGCAGTGCACCTTGCTGAGGAAACCTGGCCAAGCAATTTACTTCCCCAACACTAGCACAGAATAGAGCTCACTACCACCTCATCAAGAGAGACTGCAGGAGACACATCCATCCTCAGCTTCATGTATCAGTGATGCATGCCCATAAAGATACACTGTTTCCCACACAGAGGTCATCCTGCAACTCTTCCGCTCTTCTCTCTCTCCTCAAGAGAGCACTAGAGGCCTCTCTTTATGCATTCCAAGAACTGGAGAACAAATCTTTCCGACTGCATGCCCAAGGGTGAAGGAAGGGTGGCTGCCAGTCACACACACTGGACAGTTAGCTTGAAGATCAAGCATGCTCATCTTCATGCTGTCCACTGAGGTACACATGGACAACAGCTGGTCTTATCAGCTCCTCACACCTGTGAGGTAACACTCTGATTCCCTCCACACAGCAGCTGCTTACCTCTCTTGACAGCTCTTTCCTAATGCAAAATCCTACCCAACCTTACTCGTTTGCAAAATCCTGAGGAGAGGCTGAGTTCTCTCAGCTAAACAAAGCAGACACCCTTCTGCCCACAGAACTTACCTTGCAAACTGTGGCCACACAAATGTTGCCCAGATTCAGGGGGTCAATGGCCTCCAACTTCATGCCTTCCTCAAACCATCCACCTTCAGCATAGACAGCTCGTACCTAAGGGAGACTCTGGTATACTATGTGCTGTCAGGGGTATGGGACAGTCCCATCCCGACAGAAAGTGCAGATTAGAGCTTCTTTACTTGGCTCAACCCAAGCTAGGAAAGAAATATTACAAGAAATACAAAGAGGCAGGCAAACCAATGCTGTGTTTGAGCCAGCAATCTCCTGCCAGGGCTCTGACCAGTCAGAGTGTCAGGCCCAGTATTCAGCTGCTGTTCGACACCAAAGAAAGTCTCCTTCTCATCTCAGTCCTTATCAGTATGATCCAGCTCCTTGCTGGAACTGGTCTCTCCCATGCAATCATCTTCCCTCTCAAACTCAAAGCTCCAAGCAACTGCTTGCCCTTCACCTGAGCCCCTCAATCTGTCATTGTCTTCTAGTTCCTCTGCCTTTCTATCGTGAGCTGTCCCTGCCCAACCACAGCCTTGACACCCCAAATACCTTACTACCTGGTAGCTGTAAAAGACACAAATAAGCCATTCTCAACAACCCACGCAGCAGCACATATAACCAAGGAAGGAAGTGGTATCATTTCTTCCTTTGCTGATTTGTTCTACCTTCTTAAACAGATAGGGGACAGCATCACAGTAAATCTTCCGGAAGGTGGGATGGTTTGACATTTCACTGCGTTTTTCTTCTGTGAGGAATGAAAGAAACAGGTAAGAAAGCTGCAGCAACTGCAGTAAGAAAACACATTGGTTATTAATTCCCCGGTGAGAGCTCAGCTACTATAAAAAAACCTAGACCAGAGACCATGAGGAGAGTAATAAGAATAGGTCAGTCCCTTTACACCTTCTCATAACATGGGCTGTGATGCAAGGTCTGGCTTAAAAGCAGATGGCTGAGCTTCCTGAGCACTACTGCTAACACCTCTACATGCAGCTGTAATCACTAGGGTGCTGCAGAAAGGAAGAGATGGAAACAGAAGGCTCAGCAGTGCTGGAATCTAGTTTGGGGTTTTTTCTCTACCAATCTAAGCTGATAAAAATTTTTCTCTGTGAAGTCCAGAAAATCACAACCTGATGGGATCTAGTCTTGCAGAAGCCAGCATGAATTTCCTCAAAAAGACTTTCAACACGTGTGATGTTGCAAACTCTGCATTCTCATACTGTGGGGACAGACCGTCTGCTTCAGGCAAGAAACCCTACAGGCCCCCTTTTCCTGAACGTGTGAGAGCAGACCACTGGGCTTTTATCTATCCAGGGGAAAAAGCAGCAGACATGACTCCATAGACTTTGTCTGTCAGATCCTGAGGCAACTGCCTGGCTCCTAATATGTCAAGACCTGTTAACAGCAGGGTCCAGACAGTTCATAGCAAATCAGAAGATGCTTGTGGTGCTATGATCCCTACCTGTCTTCTTCATGTTGTGGCCCACTCTCCGTGACCAGCCCACAGGATGGATGAGGGGACTCCACATGTGGCACCAGAAGTCATCATCACTGTCACCGTCCTCATACAGGAGTCTCAGTCTGCCCCCGATCACTGTGTCCACCACTGCCGTGCGCGTCCGGGAGACGTGGTTCTTATCCACCACCTCCACCCGCATGCCCTGCCGGAACGGGTACTTCATGCTCTCTGCCATCTGGCAACAACCAACAGAGGAACCAAGATCAATCACACTTGATGTTTTCCTTCTCCAAACACTTCAGAGAACAGCCTTCCCCTTAGACTTTGCTGGCCAACACCCTGCACTTCTCAAAGCTGACTGGGAGACACCTCTGGGAAGGGATGCATGGGAGCAGGTTCATCAGGGAGCAGCCAAACCCACACACAGCAGCACAGTGGGGTACATTCACTCATAAGTTTCCCCTGTTCTGTGGCCCAATAACAGCTACCCCCACCCTGGCCCAGCAGCCATGCTCAGCCAGCACCTTCTGTCAATGTCCTAAGTGGGAAAAACAGATGTCACTTCTTGACAACTCCAGCTGACCAAGAACTGAGTGAGGAATCGTGTGCCTTTTTCAGTCATGAAAAGACCGCAAGGGTTTCAAGGCTGGCTGCAGTTAGAGGTGCAGCAGACAGGGCAACAGGATTTTCAGTTGACTTTAAGAGGTCAAGTCCTTATTTTCACTTTTTCACTCTGATCAGAGGTTGAGCAACATGATGATCTATCTGCTCCAATGCCAGAGTTATTCTGCAGACTGACCCAAAGGCACAGGCATGAGTCACTGGCTACCTTCTAACTGATTTGTTTGAGGCTTTCAGTTTGCTGATCCAGCCTGGCCCTACTCCTCCACAAATGGCCAAAAGTGTTTATAGCACTCCTGACATTTTGGTACTGTGATCCCAGAATGCCATGCAGCAACTAGGAAGCACAGCTCAAAACCGACTCAGACAACCCAAAACCAGCCTACACCTGAATCCGAAATTTTTAAGGTAATATCTTTCCCTTTCACTTCCTGTTCATTAGAGGGGAGTTGAGATGCAAAGGGGAGAAAGAAACTGACAACATCTGTCTCCCTCCACCACTTCCCTTCCACGGTATGAGCTCTCAGCTACAAGCTGTGGCCCAGGACCAGGAAGCTACAAACATCCTCTTGACTTTGAGAAGCAACGAGGGAAACACCAACTCTGTCAAGGTCTCCAGCCCAGCGTCACCAATCACCTCACATACAGGAAAACCTACCACTTGTCTGCTGTCTCTGGGACCATCTTCCTTATGTGTGGTTTCCACAGCTGCCAGGGACAAAAGAGCCTCTTTTCCCCTGACAAGGTCTAACTCCAGCACAGGCTCAACCAAGCCAAGGCTGCTTTTCTTTACAGCTGCTTCCATGCACTCTGAGGGAACCTGTACCCCTCTCACTCGCCACAGGCTGCTGTGCTACCAGTACTTAAGGCAAAGGTTTCTGACTCTCAGAACTGAAATGAGGCAGGGAAAGCTCAGGCTGGAGCTTTGCTGGCCTTTCCTTTCAGCAAAAGCATAAACCTTATCCCCAGTATTTCCCAGCAGACTAAATGATAACAGCTTTAAAGCCCATCTATGACCCAAAGGAGAAACAGTTGTGCTGTCAGGGCCTGGAGGCTTTCGCATTCCCCACAGCATCATGACAGGTATCTTAGGAGTATGGGGAAGCATGTCCCTGTCATGCCCAGGTTTCAAGCAGTTACATAAGAGTTGCATGGATCAGAACCAGAAGAGACATGTTGCACATTTATCTCCCGGCTTCAGCTTCATTTCCACACATAAAATGACATCTTCCACATTTACCTTGATGTGAAAATCCACTGGGATTGTCCTGGCTCCCACCAGTTTTTTCATGAGGTAACTCCTCCAGTCAGTGTATTTGGCATGGATACCTACATACGCATAGGGAAAAAGCATATCTTTATGATCAAAGGAATTACAGCATCACACTACACCTTTCTTCCTGAGAGCCCATTTGTCTTAAAAAGGCCTTTTCAGATGCAGATATTGTACCTGCTCTCAGTTCTGCCAGCTTGCCCCCACAGCTGGCTGAAAAGGATGGCCATTACAGACTGGACTGGGCCAAGCAGACACCCAACTTGACTGATCTAGACATGGAAGTGACATTAGAGCAAAACCATGTGAGCCACACCAAGGAAATCTCAGCTTGCCAGAATTTTGCTAAACTGGCACCCAACTCTGAACTGCCAGCTAAGGAGTGATCGGAGCCACTGCTCCCCCCAGAGATGCTGCCCGGGATGTAGGACCAAAAAGTTCCTCCCAAAGGTTAAGCCTAGCCACTGTCTGGGTCAGGAAGAGGGACAGCAGCTGCATTAGTTTTTGTCTGTAGGTTTAACACCAGCTCTGTCACCAGTACCCCCAGGGTGATGCAGAGGGAGCAGTTCAAGTAGTCTCCAGCTTCCCAAAGAACTAACTGCTCCTTGTAAGTCAGAGCACAAATGGAGCTGTGGTCCCATATACACTGGGAGGACCTGTTCCCCTGTTCTAAGGCATAAACCAAGGCTCCTCCACCACCCCTCTCACCCCACACTCACTTTGTGGTGGTACCAGGATTTTGCTGTTGATGGCACACCAGCCAATGGGGTGAATATCCACTGTGCCCAAATTGCACCAGAAGTCATGGCTAGCATCATTCTCAAAGCCCTCATATCGCAGAAGGGCCCGGTACCCTGCCAGGACAGAGCAGACAATCACAGCAAGGCATTAGAGACCAGAAATTTCTCCTTTCCTGCTGGGCACCAGGGGCTTAGTCCTGACATCATGGCCTTCAGAGCTCCGCACGGGTTATCAGAGCTTCTCCAGCCATTCTGGAGGCAGAACCAACCTTGCAAAGAGCCCAGCAATCAGAAGAGGAACCAGATGCTTGTTTCCTCCCACCCCCACCCTGTGGTATTTCCTGTTCCAAAATCTCTCAGCAGTTGCAGAGCTCCAAAGAGCTGACGTTTTCCTTGACCAGCAACACTCAGCTCCCCAAAGGCTCTCTCAGAGGTCAGCCATCCCTAGCTGTCAGGAATTGCATTGCAGACATACCTATAGTCTGCATGACGGATGCAATCCAGTACACACGGCTGGGGAGCACAGCATCACTGTTCAGCACTTCCACTTTCATACCTTTCACCACATCATCCCACTGATCGAAGAGCGGCACCTGAAGGATCGAGGCAGCCACAAGAGACATGGACAGTTAGAGCAGGGCTCATTCTAGCTTTCAGAAACATGTTTCAGGCAGCCACGCTTTCACCTTAGGCACATGCATGCCTTACCCTTCCTGTATCTGCCAACAGTTTGAAAAGCAAACAAACTGCCCCAAACATCTCACTGGGGTATTCACTGAGGATCCCAAAAGGCAGAACACTGTATAGCAATGCTTAACTATTTCACTGTCAGCTGACCTAGAAGCCCAAAGTAATTGCTGCCATTCCTCTATGGTGTCAAAATCCCTAATCATCAATAAAACTGCCAAGTCTTTCTGACCTATCCTCTAGATAAAGGACATTTTGTTAGTATTATCACAGATCACAACTCAAAAGGAATATAACAAGTGAGTCTTATTACACAGAGAATAATATTACATCACATATAACATCTAAGAACTGCCATTCTTCCACATATGTGCCTCAGCTACTTGGCCCATAAGGACTGCAAATCCATGACCCCATCAGCCGAGTTTTTCTCCGCATACCACCCTGGGCTGTGCTCACTCAAACTGCAAACAGGAGCTGTCCCCAGCCAGCAATGGGCCATCACCATCAGCAATGCCTCTATCAAGTCACACTCTGTTTCCTCCCCCAGAACTCCTGGTCCCTCTATGGGACTCCCATTCTGAGCTATGAGAAGCCCCGACTTCCTTCCCTGCACCAGCTCCCCAGGCCTCTCCCCTCCACTTGTCACAGGAGTACAGGAGAGTCCCACACATACAACATGCCCCATGCACACTGCAAGGCACAGTAAAGAACTCACATGTTTAAAGCAACTGACAGGAGCTGCCTTGAAGCCATGTTCCTGCAGGTACTTTCCCCAGTCAAAGCCCAGGACGAGTGCTACAAGCAGACATGAGAGCAGAAAATCAACTGAGATTATAGAAAAGACACAGAGCACCCTGTTACCTGGGACAGATCCCTCTGCCCCAGCACACAGGAACTCTGCATTCCACCACATTTTCCCTGGTGGGAAACTCGATCCTATGAGTGTACAGGGACCAATCTTCCACAGAAGGCACCCAACATTATTAATTAATCCTTGCTGTCATGTGCTTTTGACAAAGAGGGGGCAGGAGGGGCAAGAAAAGGGGCCAAATTCATCCCATGGCTCAAGCACTCCAGGTAAGAGTGGAGAATGCATCCTGTCAGTGTTAAACCCCTTAGCAGCTTCGCTTCTCAGCAGCAACACTGCAGGGTCAGGTCAGCAGCATGTGCTTCGCCAAACGGTGCTGGGAAAAAATGAGAGTGAAGCACTGAGATATTCATTCCACAGTTGCTCCTGATCCAGGGCTATAGATCTGAACTAGCAGCAGCCTGATCAGGGATCAATCCCAGCTACCACCTCCTGGGGCTCATTTCACCCTAACACAGCAGCTTGCTACTACTTCAGCTGCAATAACTGGCTGTTCCTTAAGTTGATCCACGAGTGACTTGGGTTAAATATAAATATACCTTCCCACAGAGAGTGGGGCAGAAAAGGGCTGGGAGCAGCAGGACACCTTTAAGTCAGTTTTGGCAGCAGAATTCAGCACCTTGTGGGACTATGACTACAGAATTTGCACTCCACATCAAGGTGCACAAGGAGTGAGAATGGGGCTGCAGTAGTGGATGGGCAGGAACTCGCCCACCATTAGCACTTGCAGGGAGAGGGAGAGACATGCTTTGTGTCTTGCCAGACTGTGTCAGAGCGATCCACACACATCATTACAGTACAAGGGAGTATAGCAGAGTGGATGAAGAGGACTGCAGAGCTTACAGCCCTCCAGATGTCCCCTTTTCTATAACTCCAGCAAGCTGCACCTCCTCACTGTCATCTACACTCACCGTCCTGGCCTGTCAGTGTCCCATCAGCCAGCTGCCCTGTGCCCTGTGAATGGAGGAAAGCCCCGATCTTGGCTGACCAGGCTGCCTTATGCAGAACTTTAGCTTTCTTCGTTGGTGGCTTCCCCTACAAAAGAAAGCACATGTGGAATATTAGTGGCACAGGAGAGGAAGCCAGTCACTGCAACTGGCCAGCAAGGCATGCATCTCTTCCTTGGGGTGATTTTCAGGTTACTACAATTTTTACTAATGCTCACAGGAACAAGAAGAAACAGCAGGTAAAATAAATCAATGTGTCCTTCCTCAGCTTTTAGGGACCACCACCCTTCAGCTGGCATCCACTCTTTGGGGACTTCAGGCAGGAATAACAAGCCCCTGGCAATGGCAGTCTGATCTTTAGCTACAGAGCAACCACCAATTCCTGTGTACAAGGCACATCCTCAAGGAATAAGGAAGGGGTTTGACTTACCTGAAGTCTAGCCAGGATGCTGGCCTTCTTGGAGTTTGAGGAGTAGCTTCGCGAACAGGAGACGCTGCAGAAACGTTTGGTCTTGGAGAAAAAAGCCTCCCTGGTGCCCACAATCCCACACATCTCACACACAGCTGAGAGAAGGAAGGCACAAAAACATGAGCAGCTGGTACAGTTGATGCACCACAAGAACATAGCTGAGCCCAGGCAATATTCATTACACACAGCCAATCCCCCAAATAGTCCAGGAGCTGCAGTGTCAATCTACTGCTGCTCCCAAGGCATACTCACACATACTCTTCAGCTCCCCCAGCCCTTGTTCCTTCCATCACACACGTGGTTTAGGTAGAACAAACAGTGTAATACCTGGCTCGGAGCCACTGTCGTCTGGGAGCCGCACTGTGGATGGCTGGTGCACAGGAGAGATCGGAAGCTCTCCAGCTTCTCGGTCTGCCACCTCATCATCACTAGACTCATCCAGACAGGAGCTGCTCTCGCTGCCCATACTGCTGTTGTAGCCTCGGAAGCTGTCATAACCTCCAAAGATGTCCAAGTCCTCATCCTCATCATCATCACCTGCATCCTCTGTCCGCTCCAAAGATGAAGTTTTGTGACAGGAGGTAGACACCATCTAAAAATAAAGAGTCAGTCTGCCTTAAGACAGACATTTTACCCACATCCCAAAGTAAACCTGCCTTCCTTGACATGGGGAACCAAGGAGAAGCCTCAGGATGAGCAAAATGTCCATGTAGCAACCCCAAAGGCAAGAGTCCGAATCCTTGGCACCACTCGCTGACCGATGCCCAGCTCATCCTCCACCAGCAATCAGTCCCTTCCAGCCAAGTGCCCCTGTTTCTATGCCAAGCATGACATGCTGTAGTATGGAATAGCCCTTTGGCTGGTTTGAGTCAGGTGTCCTCTCTCTGCTCCCTCCTGGCTTCTTGTGCACCTCCTCACTGGCAGAGCATGAGACTGAAAAGTCCTTGATCAGGGTAGGTGCTACTGAGCAGCAACTAAACCATCAGTGTGTTACCAGCATTGTTCTCAGACTAAAGTCAAAACACAGCACTGCACCAGCTACTAGGAAGAAAATTAACTCTATTCCAGCTGAAACCAGGACACTCTCTGAACACAGCTGCACAGCACAGCAGTGCAGACACCCTCAACCTTAAAGTCACTATAACCTTTCAGCACGGAGCACAGAACTGCCCACTCTGGCTACCATAGCTCACAAGACCAGTACAGGCTGGATGTCAGCAGGACACACCTGACTCTGGGGAAAGGTCATGTTCTCTGGAAGCTGCAGTCCACAGCTGACATCAGTTCAGAAACTGCATCAGCAGGAAGACAGAACAATGTTTAAGAGTTTTTGCCCACAACCAGATGTCTCCACAGCTACACATCTTCTCTAACTCCTCATACTTGCTGTTACAGCAAGAGAGCAGAGAGGCAGTGATTGAAGAAAGCACAGAAATTCACTGTCTGTTTCTCAGATTAGAGAAATCTTGAACTAGGCTCCAACTAAAGGCAAAACGAACTGGGAAAAGGCATCATCAACTCATGAAACACCAGCAAGAAGTCAGCATCAGCAGAGGGAGTGACAGAACAGAAAGGTAGACTGGAACAGCCACACAAGGCACCAGGATACAATTGATCACTCAAGTGTGTGACAACAAAAGATGAGCAGCAACTCCATCAATGTTAAATTCCCTACGATCCCTGGCTCCTGGGTATTATTACAGGCACACAAACAGGAAGATCAGACTTCACTCACTGCTGTCTCCCAACATCCTCCCTGGGTTTCACACAAAACAGACCCATGCTGTTCCCTTAAGACTAAGTTGCTCTCCTGCAGATCCAGCCCTCAGACAGCATTTCTGATGTGTGAACAGCTCAGTAAAGAAGCACATTCACCTCTCTGACCGTAGGAAGTGAGTATCTTCGGGTCATTATGCTTCCACTAAAATGCAAATGAAACAGGCTGACAAACAAGGACAGCACCACTCACAACCACCACAGAAAGGAGAGGCGGCCGCAGAGATCCCTGCCTCCCCGGTCAGCACCATCACCCCTGCAGTACGGAGGGGCGCGAGGGTACCTCGCCATGGCGGCCGGGAGGAGGCGGCCCAGCAAACCCTCTCTCCCTCCGGGGCGCGGGCAGCCGTTACCTCAGTACCACACCACGGCCGATACCCCGCTAACGCTGCCCGGGCCTCGCGCCCTCCCGCAGGGCACCGGGCTGCCCAGTACAGTGTCCCAACGCTTTCCCCAGCACCCTGCGGACACCCGGAGCCGACATCGTTGCTTCGGCCCGGTTGCAGCCTGGTTCCGGAGTCGGAAGAGGCCGCGGCCCATCGCCGCTCGCCGCTCACCTCTCCCTGCTCCTGCTCCTGCTCCATGGCTCCCGGGACGCCACCAGCCCGCCTCACACGAGGAGAGTGCACCCCCCACCTCAACGGCGCATCTGATTGGCGGCGGCTGGGAAAAGAAAGCCAATCAGCGAATAGCTTGTTCTCGCCGTGAAGCACGATGGGAACTGTAGCTCTTTCTCCGCAGCGGCGGGGAAGAGCGGCCGGAGCGGCCCTAGTCAGGGGCTGTGAGAGGCTGGGCGCCTCTGGCACGGCCTCATCCTCTCCAGTAGCTCTGCGTTGCGTTAGTTCGCTGAGGCACAGAACTTTATGCAAACAGAGCAACAAAGGATAATAATGATGATAATAAAAAGCAAAGGCCCCCCCAAACTTCCACTCCACAAACTGATTTGATGCCCAGTAGCCACCAGCATGTGGGTGCGAGTGTAGAGGCCCTGAAACAATGGGAGTTGTACATCTTCAACGTAAGGGAGGAAGCACATGGCTTCCTATGGGAAAGGATTTGGGTTTGGATGGGAGGAATGCCTTTGGCATGGCAGGTACCTAATGTCACACTGGCAACTGACAGCAGCAGCGTATCACCCAGGCTGGGGAACCGCCACTGGATGCTGTGAGAGCTGCCAGCCAAGCAGGGAGGAGGATGGAGGACTCAGGATGGAGGACTCAGGATGGAGAACTGGCCATGCACCCCCACCCTGCCCTGATGGGTCTGAGACTCATACAGTGAATAACCCCTGTGAGTTAATGCTGCCCCTCCCCATCTCCTCATGCAATCAGTCTCAGGGCTTTCATGCAGAAATAGATGTTTTATTTGGCAAGGACAGTATGACCTTGCACAAAAGAGGCCTTGAAGTGCTTACTGTGATATGTAATTGGGTTTAGAATTTTTATGCCTTCATAGCATAGTTTTTTTGTAGTACAAACGATTTTCTCCATTTGGAAGTTGATTTTTGCCCCCATGGAAAAAGCAATGTGGTTGTAGTGGTACCAGTAGCAACATCCCTCATCCCAGCTTTTTGCCAAGAATCAAGTGTCTCACAGTATTGATTCTCTTTTATCCAAACAGTAAGTCTCCTGGAGTTAGTTCTATTCCCTGCTTTACCTTTTATTTTCTTATCACCTTTATTGTGTCAACACTGTAAAAAGAAAAAGCTGTACTGCACAGACTGTGTAGTTAAACAAGTAACATGTGAAGCATATGCACGGTTCCCCTCTGGTGGCCTGTCAATCAAACGGAAAGGAGTATTCCTGTCACATTAGACCATGTCACCCAAAGCTCTGTCCAACCTGGCCTTGAAGACTGCCAGGGATGGAGCATTCACAACTTCCTTGGGCAACCCATTCCAGTGCCTCACCACCCTCACAGCAAAGAACTTCTTCCTTATATCCAATCTAAACTTCCCCTGTTTAAGTTTAAACCCACTGTCCCTTGTCCTGTTGCTGGAGACCCTGATGAAGAGTCCCTCTCTGGCATCCTATCAGCTCAGACTGAGAAAGCAACAAGCAAATACAAAGTCACCTGAGGTCTTTATTTTTAACTCATGATTTTGGGGTGCTAATTTATGGCAGCTCTAACCCTGCAAGTGAACGTGGCTACAGACGCACATCACACCTCAGGCCTGAGGCTGCCCTGGCTTCATCTGACAGGCCTAGTGAGATGCCGGTTGTGTGGCTCCCAAACCTCTGCTTGCCAGGGAGACATTGTACTGGGAGCTCATTTCAGTGCCACACTCCGCTCTTCACACCCTATAGATAGAAAAAGGAGGAGGGATAAACCCTCAAAATCATCCTGGAAATAAGCTTCTGATTGTAATTCCCCACCCTATCCCAGTGCTGAAGGAAGATTTGCTTTGGAATAATAAATTTTGTAATCCCCTTGATTCCTTGGAGCTGAGTGAATTGTGAGAGGAACTCCTGTAATCAGAAACAGAAACTAGAGGAGTGCAAGAGGGAAGGGACATGCATGTCTCACTCTCCTGCCATATAACAAGTTTTCAGGCAAGACACAGCGCATCCACGATCCAGGAGAGAAACAGGAGGTTTCAGTAACAGGGTTACGGTAGATAGACTAAAAAAAACATGTCCAAAATACCTGCCCTAAGGGTTTTCTTTAGTGAAACTTGAGCTTACCAACCTGCTGCCAGAACAGCAGAGCACACCTGCGCAGGAAGAACGTGGGACTCCCCGACCACTGCTATTGCCCTCACTGCAATCTCAAGAAGCACAGGAAAAGCAAACGCCCAAAGGACTTTCAGCTTAAGGACCTAAGATTGCTAGAGCAGAAAAAGTGGCCCTGGCTTCCAGTGCTGTGTTTGCAGACACCACAGCCCTCAGCCCTGCAGCCACTACCCCTGGCAGTACTGCAGAGAGCTGGGCCCTAGCTGACCAAGCCTCATTCCCAGCCAAAATTTAACACCCAGGTCCTGCCTTCCAGCCCTTGGAGAGCCTCTCTGTCAGCCCAGGGATGCCTCTACATCTGAGCTCTTGCTTCGCTGGCCCCAGGGTCCCATGCTGCTGTGACTCTTGCTGCACAGGGTACGCAGCAATACCTGCATTCTTTCCCCATTTTAGAAAGGCTACAGAGGCTCTGTGGGGAAACAAAGACAATAAGAAGAGAAGAAGAAACAAACCTATGTGAGGACTCCTCGCTTTTCTGGGCGGCAGAAGCTATGCCCTTTCAGACAGAGGAGTGGGTTGGCAAAGAGCTTTCTTCTTGCAATGCCACTGTCACTGCCTTCCAATCCCTGCTGTTGCCATGGGGCCTGTGGGGGCATGAGAAGAAGCAGATCACCCACTGATAGAGCTTGTGGCTGCATCCCCCATAGCTCCGTGCTCCCAACATACATCAAAGCCTGACACCACCCAGCACACCTGGGGAAAACAAGAATCTGGGACATGCTGACTTCTCCAGGAGCTCTGAAAGGCTTCAAAGATGGCTGGGGCAGATGGTGCTAATCCTCCAGCCTCCCTAAATCCACCACATTCCCTACAACAGGAATGTAGACTGGCTCCTTGGCTGATTGCCCATAGGATACCCACAGCACCAGTCACAGAACAGGTTTCCCTTTCAAACATCACTGTGTACAGGATCCCTGCTGGGGAGTTACAACCGAGACCCTGCTCTAAGAGACAGCAACTTGAGCACGTCATCAAACCCCTGTTTCTCTAAATGAAGTGCCAGATCAAAGTTGGGCAGGCAAATACCAATGCATGCAATGTACCTATGAGGCTGATGGAGCAGCTCAGCAGCTCTTCAACCATGATGCAGGCATAGACTACTGCTGAAACCACTGCAGATGGAGCCCGCTGTGTT